GAGGGTCCTAAATGAGAGTAGCTGGTGTTCTCTAGATAAAGACTTGTGTAACAAAGTGTAACAAGAACAAGTGAATACAACATCGTAACAAATATTGTTAACCATCATTCAAATAAAGTTTTATTATTATTTAATTACAAGCTTGTCTGAACCTGGAATAAATATCCATGCTGCTAACAATCAAAGAAAACAAAGTTTGGGGAGTAAATCCCTAGATAAATATATATATATATATATATAAAAACATCACAAATTGGTGACAGTGGGAACAGGTGCTGTCATCCAAGAAGGAAAGTTTAAAAGATAAGCAGATAAATAAGCAGTTTCAGTGTTTCTCTTCACAATTTGGTGGCAGCGGTGGGATAGTAAAACCCATTGTGCTGTCACTTGAAAAAAAGTGTTAGGTGAGTGAGACTCACCGTGACAACATCCCCATCCATAAGTAATGCTATGGCCGCAGGGCCAAAAGGTCACCTTTGCACATGTACATCTGTGCCTTGTCTAGGATTATTTATTTAGTTATTTATTTCATTTTTATGCCACCTTTCCCCCAGGAGGAAACCAAGGCTGTCACAGATAAAAAGAACTTTAAAAAAAATCAATAAAATTCAAAACAATTATTTCAATTAAAATAATTAATTTACAATAATGTGTCATGGTTGTGCATTCTATACTTTGCATTGTGGTTATATTGTGCATTGCGCAATGCCACCTAGTCATGGATATGTGTTCTGCAATGTTGCTATTCTGTGTGAATGTTGTGTAGTGTTCATGTAACATATATCTGCATGCAGATATTTGTGCTAAGCTGAAGGGATGTTGGACTGCAGCCTGTGTGTCACGTCTCACTTATTTTAAACAGCCTAATAAAAGGTAATGACCACCATATCTGTGCATGTCAGTCATTCCATCCTAAGCAAAACCTAGAAAAATGCATTGTCCAAAAAGGAGAGAAGTTATTGTATTTCATGAACTGCTTCCCTAACTTCTTTCAACAACAATTCAACCCTAATTTTTACAAGGCTGTTATTTTAATTCACTCGTTAATTACTGCTCCATGCAGAAGATCCCACTATGATGTTTTTGTCACAGATCCGCTGATATGTCAGAGTTTTATGTACTTCCTTTGTTGCTGATATGGATCTCTTCCTGGAGATAACACCCAACAAAACCTTTTTTTTTACCATTTCCTGTCAACTGTGTAAAAAAACAAACCCAAAACACCAAGAACTACTTTCATTTTCATCCAAACAGTTCACAGAATTAAAACGTGATTTCAAGACCAAAGATGGGCTTTGAAGAACAAAATATCTTGGCTATATTCTCTAACAGTTTGTGCTCCAAAATAAATGTCGCAGAACAATGGGAAGTCTCAAATAGGCAAATATCCTGGTTCCTGGGTTGATTCCATATTAACCCATCACTTCTGTGGATGAACTTGACATGTTTATGTGTGGTTTGGATGCTTTTCATTAATCAACTGTGTGGTTTGCATGCTTTTCATGAATCGATCTGATTTAAAATGTAATCACTTTGTCAACTTGCCTCTTTAGGAGAGAAATTAAGATTTCTCATTCTCGTAAGGAAATCAGTTTGACAAATTGTTGGGCAGCTTATTTTTACACTCATTCTTGTAGTATTGAAAATTTTCTCCTAGTTGTAACTTATGGAGTTAGGGATTTTATTTTCTGCAATATACTACAGAATTGAGAAGATAAACCTCTTTATTTGGAGACTGAGGGCTCTTCCACACTGGCCAAAAGCCTTGAGATTTGGCAGGAATTGTAGCTGTATTCATCAAAGGGTGGGGTTATTCTGTCCTTCCCCCCCCCTCTGAAATTTTGATACTAACCACAACTTTTTATGCCTTCTGCAGGAGGTGTGCCCCCCGGCCCGGGAGTTCCCAATATAGGCTATATAAACTGCATGGCAGGGGGTTGGACTGGATGGCCCTTGTGGCCTCTTCCAGCTCTATGATTCTATGATTCTAACACCTCTATTCATCGTCTTGGTTCCTCCCACTATATTTTTAGGGGATCCCAAGGATGCAACCTTTGTCAGGGAGGCTTCCCATTGACTTCCATTCCCTCATTACATTTTTGGTTAGCAGACTGAATGTTTCTTCCCACCTTCACTTCTTTCTAGAGATATATGCTACGGTGGTATGACTTTATATCATTTTTGCACCAAAGCTGTTTAAAAAAACTTTTTGAAAAATATAACAATATAAATCTGGCAACAGGGATCCGGAGGAAAGATGTTGAGTTTATGAAAGGGATGGGAAGATGGAGGGATATTAGGGGATTGGACTGGATGGCCCTTGAGGTCTCTTCCAACTCTAATGAATCTATGCCCACACCACATCTTAAACTGAAATGCTAGGGATCAGACGTGTTTTGGACTTTTGATGTTTTTGAATTTTGGAATACCTATATTTGCATCTATGAAGATAGTGTAGTGGTTTGAGCATTGGACTGTCATCCTAAAGACCAGTGTTTGATTCTTCGCTCTGCCATGGAAAGCTACTGGGTGATCTTGTGCGAGTCATACACTTTCAACCCCAGAAAACCCAGTGATGGGTTTGCCTTAGACTCACCATAGGTTAGAACTGACTTGAAGGCACACCATCACCACCACCACTACACCAACAATATGAGATAGCTTGGATATGAGATCCAGTTCTAAGCAAAAAAAAAAATCATTTATGTTCCATGGACACCTTATACACATAGCCTGAAGTTAATTTTCTACAATATATTTTAATAATTTTGTTCATGAAACCAAGTTTGTGTCCACTTAACCATCAAAAAACAAAGACATCACTATTTCAGCCATCCATGAAATCGTTTTGGAGTATTTTGAATTTCAAAATGATGGATAAGGGAGAGTCAACCTGTAGTGTTAAAATCCACTATAACCAGAAATAAACAAGGGCCAAGAGCTGGATATATTTAAGGCAGGGGTAGGCAACCTTTCCCCTTTAAGGGCCGAGGGACTTCAGCTCCCAGAATTCCAGGAGCTATTGGCCAACATGGGACTATTGGCCAACATGGCTGAGGCTTCTGGGAGCTGAAGTCCCTTGGTCCTTAAAGGGGAAAGGTTGCCTACCCCTGATTTAAGGTATGACTGGATGCAAGAACAGAAGCAATTGTTACAAGGCATTAAAAGCATGAAATCACAAAACAGAATTCCCCAGTTACTGGAACTATGTAATGCTTTGGAGGAATCCTAAAGTCTCTCCAGTGAGGATGTGGTCTTTAGAAAGATCCAGCTTTGATGGACTGGAGATAATGCCCAAACAATAGTAAAATAATACATCCCAAAACTGTAAATATAAGCAGCAACAATAAGGGTAACTGTACCCAAAGCAAATGTTGTCATCTTGCCAAAATAATGCAATTGACAAACATCCTTATATTATATAGGCAGGGCATGGAAATGTTATGTTTTTGAACTACACTTCCAGAATAATCCAGCCACTATGGTAATGATTCTCAGAGCTTCCAAACAAGGAAGGCTCTGAGTGTATGAGCAAGAGCAAAGATGGGGGAAAATGCACCCTGTGGGCCTTGACTTATTTTTGTGGGCTCCAAGCCTCATCAATTGCCCCTGATTAAATGGGCCCAAAATAACAGTGGTGCGATTTGGCACTGACATTCAGGAACCAATAGTGAATAACATTTATGGGTGTTTGCAAAGCTCCAGATTTTGATAGTTTGCTTTCTCCTAACAATGACTCTCCGTTATATATTCCTCCTATGGACACAAGAGCACCACTTCCTCTCCCCTCCCCCCCCGTCTTATTTTTTCCTTGCTCCTTGAAGCTGAAGGGCCTAAATACCTAAAGGCACCAGATCCTTTCTGATCTTGAAAGCTAAGCAGGGTCAGCCCTGGTTATCACCTGGATGGGAGACCACCAATCAATAGTGGGTAGTTTATGATATCCCTCAAAGGAAGGAACTGGCAAAACCACCTCTTAAGTATTACTTGCCTAAGAAATTCCTGTGAAATCATGGAGTTGCCATAAATCAACAAGTGACTGAAGGCCCATGAACACACACATAAATACACACTTACACCCTGAAGCTGAATATGGCTGGTGTGGTAGCAGAGTGACAGCAGGAGAAAAGAGAGAAAAGAGTATATGTGTATCTTAAGTGAGGAAGCTATAAGTAAGGGGAAGCCTGTGTGAGAGGGGACAATGAATCAATTTATGATGGAATTAAAATTTATTATGAATTATTATATGTGTTTCCCTTTCTTAAGCTGTGGGGACTAGAGGGGAGCAGGTTAACTACAGAAAGGAAAAAGGGCTGTCTTTCAAAAGTAGGAAGAAAAACTAATAACTACAGATAAGAAAAAATTGTTTACAAATCAAGTCAATACATTTATTTACAGTTATTGTCTTCAGAGAGCTTAGACAGGGAGTTTCTTTACATTAAACAGGCAACAGTTTAGGCAAACAATTTCTTTAAAAGGACAGCACAAAGCTGTTCATGCCAAGAATTAATTACATTTATTTAAATGAAATCATTTGACAAAATAATAAAAGCTGATGCGATTTAAAATAGTTGATTAAATGTATAGAATCATAGAATCATAGAATCATAGAATTGGAAGAGACCACAAGGGCCATCCAGTCCAACCCCCTGCCATGCAGGAACTCCCAATCAAAGCATCCCTGACAGATGGCCATCCAGCCTCTGCTTAAAGACCTCCAGGGAAGGAGACTCCACTACTCTCCGGGGGAGTGTGTTCCACTGTCGAACCGCCCTTACTGTCAGGAAGTTCCTCCTAATGTGATTATATGATTTTATATGATTACACTTGTCCCTCCCCATTCATGGACTTGGAGTCTGTGGTTTTGGTCCTTCGCAAGTGGCACATGGGGGAGTGCACCACCATTGTATAACTTATGCAGCTTGAATATCTGCTATATTTCCAGTTTGCAGGAGAGTCTGGAACTTGGGAGGGATGAGTGTATATGATTTTAGAGGATAGCCAGTGTGGTGTAATGGTTTGAGCATTGGACTTTCACTCTGGAGACCAGGGTTTGAATCCCTGCTTGGTCATGAAAACCCACTGGGTGACCTTGGCCAAGTAACACTCTCTCAGCTTCAAAGGATGTCAATGACAAACCCCCTCTGAAGAAACATGCCAGGAAAATCCCATGATAGATTCACCTTAAGGTCACCATACATTGGAAACAACTTGAAGGAACACAACAATGACAACAAATATGGTTTTAACCACAAGTATCTACTATTTAGATTAAATAAAAGATAAAACTTATAGTAATCATAATAATGGCCAGAATTCCATATCATCTACTTAAGTAAGTAACCTCTCCTGACTTGAAAACACCCCTCCCCAAACCTGAAAGAAATACCATTCCCCCCATGCTTTGATCACTGCCAAAATGGATCTCCCCATGTAGCTGTTGAACAGTACAATAAGCTGGAGATCAAGTTAGGCCATATCAACAGTGTCACAATTGTGATTAAGGGCCTGTACAAATCGGCCACAAGGGCCGGCCTGGAGGTGGAGTTGGGGTGGGATGACCACACATCAGCTGCCCCGATGATGCCATCACACTGCACGCCCCACCACATGGTGCACGACATCAGGGCACTCCCTTGACACAGCATGTAGACACACTGAGCCAAAGGAGCACAGAAGAGCCATGGCGATGGCAGTAAGGGCAGCTTTTTGCCACTTCAAAAAGAAGTGATATTTGCCAGCTCTTTTGGGAGTGGCAAAGAACTGAACTGGGGCTGCAGCATGTGGTTGCCATGGCCCTGATCCGGTGGCTCCATACAGCCCCTAAGTAGCAATTGTGAATATGGAATAATTGTAAATATGGAACATGAGTAAATCTAGCTAACTGTAGTCCAAAACAGAAATAATCCAGTTTGAGACAGCTTTAACTGCTCTGGCACAGTGCTAGGGAATTCTGGAAATTGTAGTTTATTGTGGCACCAGAGCTATTTGACAGAGAAGGCTAAATGTCTCACAAGACTACAGTTCCCAGAATTCCCTAGCATTGAGCAGAATTCCCTAGTATTGAGTGCAGTTAAAGTGGTCTCAAACAGGATTATTTCCGCAGCATGTTTTGGACCTGTCCTGTATTTGTGATTCACAATTTTGATACTATTGTCATGATTATAACCTTCCCATCCCCATACTACTTTATCAGGAATCAGCTTCATGAGGAAAACAAAGTCCATTCAGCCAGCAATTGGAGCACCTTGGATGATATTTCCATCAGGTTTGTGGTGGATGGGTCAGGAAGAGAGTCCTTAACTAAGTAGCTGATACAGAATTATGGACAATAATTTTTGTTTGTTTGTTTGTTTCTCATGCACGATCATCATCATCATCATCATCATCATCATCATCATCATCATCATACTTCTTTGTTATTAATATCAAATTGCCACCCTGATGCACTTGACCTCTGGGCTCACTGCCCACCCTGAATAAAAGAGGCCTTCCTGTTCTTAAATCTCACACAATACCAGATTAACTTCAAGGGTTAATCATTATTCCATAGCACCACATTTCATGAAATTCACAATACTGGATGCAAGAGAGCCAGCATGGTGAAATAGTCTGAATGCCGGACTGTGTTTCTGGAGACGAAGGTTAAAATTCCCACTTAGCCAGGGAAACCCTCTGGGTGACCTTCAGCAAGCACAGCCTCAGAGGAAGACAAGGGCAACCCCTCTGTGCCAAGAAAACCCCAAGATAGGGTCACCTTAGGGTTGACATAAATCAGAAAAAAATGGAAGGCACACAGCATCAATAACAACGGCAACAAATTGGATGCAAAATGCCAGAACTCCAAAGCAGCCTTGAATTTGAGAATGTTCTATCTGGCAGGAAGACTATCCAGTCTGATGGATACCTGGACAAAATTATTTGCCACTCTGCTTAGCATTCCAACAGTTTATCGCCCAAAGAATGCCTGGAATCAGACCAAGCATTGTTTCCTCCACATTTTGCACCACAGATGAAGAATCAAGGAAACTCCCTCCCTTCCTCCCTCCCTCTCTCCTCACTTCACATCACCCCCTCCAATGACCCACACATGACAATTTGAGAAAGGAAAGAGCTTGAGGATGGATACAAATTACTATTTTTTTTCTAGAAGAAAAAAACCCCTCTAATTCCATTCAGTGATTTGAACAGCTGGAACAGCCAGTCACTCATTCAACATTTTATGTTATTTTAAGTCTGCAAGGTAATCATAAATTAAGGGAGGAGAGAAGATACTAATGCACCTTGGGAACACGCACACTACCCACACACATTCCCCTTCTACACCTCTCTCATACACACACATCCATACCTGCATACTAAATACTTATGGGCCCCTTGAAGCCAGGAACAGTTTTACCATACAGTCTTCAACAATTATCATACTGACCAAGAACAAAGTTCTAATAAATTGTGTGTTCTACTTCTGCAAAAAAAAAATATAATGTTGTACTGCAGTGATTCTCAAATACTCCAGGTATTTTAAACATCAACTCTCAGAAGCCTCATCCCATTTGGCCAATAGATTCTGAGAACTGAAGTCCAAAGCATCTAGCAGTCCAAAGATGGAGGACTACTGGTGTAAAGGTCATGGAGTCAATGCAGTAGGACATTTTGATTTGCTGGGGTGATATTATTCATCTCTCCTGACCTCCAAATTCTGTTATCCTTCCAAACAATGCAATCCCCGCAGCAGTATGTGCACATATCTCTGTGTGTGTCTGTGGATGTATTACATCGTTGTGATTTACCTGATGCTCATGCACAGTATTTGAGGACTGTCATATTCTTCAATAAGGGTCACCCATTAGCTTTACTAAAGACCTTGGCTGAAATCCTCCATCACAACAATAGTAAAGAATATTACAATTGCACCTGCACTGTAGAAATAATGCAGCTTCACACCACTTTAACTGCCATGGCTCAGTGCTATGAAATCCTGGGATTTGTAGTTTGCTGTGGCAGCAGAACAATCTGACAGCGAAGGCTAAATACAGTCAGCCTTTGGTATTGTGAACTTGGTATCCCTTGGTATCTGTGGATCCAAGCATCTGCAGATGGCAAGCCCACGTTGTCCCCAATGGCAGCATGTGTATGTGGCCACGCTCCCATTGTCTCATGGTGGTGTGTTCATGCAGCCATGCTGCCATTAAATTCTGTTGTCTCCAATGGTGGCACAGCCATGTTCACATGCTGCCACAAGACAATGGGGGCTATCCCTAATGGCAGCGTGGCCACATGCACGCGCTGCCATTGGGAACAACGTGGGCTTGAGTAGCCATGGATGTTGGTATCTGCAGGGGGATCTAGAACAGATCTATGGTATCCTCAGTATTCTTCTCCAGCACCACATCTCAAATGAGTTGATTTTCTTGCTATCCGCCTTCTTCACTGTCCAGTTCTTACATCTGTACATGGTAATGAGGAATAGAATGGATTTGAAAATTCTAACTTTAGTGCTCAGTTGTATATCTTTACTGTTTAGGATCTTGTCTAGTTCTTTCATCACTGTCTATCCCACTCCTAATCTTAATCCTAAACTTCAATCTGAGTTCTGCTCCATGTTTGATACAAGGTATGTGAACTCTTTAATTATTTTGATTTCCTCATTGTCTAGATAGAATTTATGTAGATCCTTGGTGGTCATTAAGCACACTGCTTACATTCTATTGTTAGGACACACATCTTAAGCTTCCTGAAACAAGAATGAAATGCAGTTGTTTCTGAGATATACTAGTCATGGTGGAAGAGGGAGCAGCAATCATGAATACTTTGCCAGACTTCCCATTTTCTTGTCCCAAAGAGAGCCAGCATAGCATAGTGGCTTGGTTCTTGGGCTAAGATCCTGGAGGCCAGGATTTGAATCCCCACTCAGCCATAGGACCTTATCCCACGCTGCTCTCAAAAGTGGCAAGAAAGCGATATGAGCATCATTGCAGTACTATAGCGCTAGTATAAATATGGCGCTAGCGCTATAATAGCGCTATGGATAAGCTAGCGCTATTGCAATGCCCGCTGAAACCGACATTCAAAAGAACCCGAATGATGCTGCATTCCGAGCAGTTTCTTGTTGGATTCTGAGCGACGTCGTGTAATCACCCAGAAAACTATAGCGCTATAGCGCCTGATTCTTAGCGGATTCTGAGCGACGTCGTGTGATCACCCGGAAAACTATAGCGCTATAGCGCCTGATTCTTAGCCGATTCTGAGCGACGTCGTGTGATCACCCGGGAATGTATAGCGCAATAGCGCCTGATTCTTAGTGGATTCTTGCTGCTTTTGGCCCCGTGGGATAAGGTCCATAGAAACCAACTGCCAGTCTGAGACCACTTTAACTGCTTCAGCTCAATGCTGGGGAATTCTGGGAACTAGTTATGTGAAACATTTAGCCTTCTCTGTTAGATAACTCTGGCGCCACAATAAACTCCAATTCCCAGGATTCCCTAGCACTGAGCAAGGACACTTAAAGTGGTCTCAGACACAACTATTTCTGCAATGTGTTTTGGACAATGGCAAACCCCATCTGCACCCCAAATAAATCTCATCAAGAAAACCCTGCAATAGGGTCGCCCTAACTAAAAAATGACTTGAAGGCACACATCATCATCAACAATATTTTTTACTAAGCCTTTCCTTATTTTCTATAAAGCCTGTGCCCTTTTTAGTCTTTGACTTTTCAGTCTTTGTTGAGAAACCCTAATAATCAAAATAAGTGCTCACTAGCACAATATACCTACATAATAATCTGAGCATAATATTTAGACTACAGTGCACTCTTCGTATATGTGGGTGATCTGTTCCCACCCACCCTCCCCGTGCAGAAGGGAAAAACACAGGACCTCAAGTCCCTTTGTTTTCTATGGCAGTGTGTGTGCCATTAAAAGTATCGGGGCTCGCCATCCGTGTGACCTTGAGTCTACGTATGCTGTGGGCGCGCTGTAGTTTAGCAGAAATTTGTAGATTTCCACTGAGAATATTCTGATCAAATATTAGCAGAATCATTGGGGATCCTTGTGTTGCTCCCCACTGGACTTTGCTTTTCTTCTTCTCAGAATGTTGTAAATATTCATCTTTACTAACTCAAGGATCCATACGTCATGTCACTGAGAATCAACTGATGGGCTACAGTCATGCCAAAAACCATGGATGCCATGGTATTATTCCCTTAGCATTTAGAATTCAAGAAGCAAAACAAAACAGTTCAGGGTCAGATGTTTCAGGCTGCCCTTAATAACACTGGCCCTTTTGAACACTTTTCCTTCTGCTCGCTGCAAAGGTTAAAGAGTAGGAAATGCCTGTTTTGTTTGACCTTGTGGTCACAGAAACTGACAGGAATCATATTTAAGGCTCCAATGTGCAGTTATTTTTAGTCTGCGTAACTATTCTGAAGTAAATAGAAAGCAGCAACATGAAGAGAAGTCAAGGTAAAATAGGGGCCATTGTTTTCTTTTCCCCCTTCTTCCCTCCCCCTATCTTTGCCTGAGTTGACGATTTGCATCAACATCATGAGTTTAACTTCTACTTCCTCTCTACATGCCGAACAACTTCCAACCTGCTTATATAAGTACCAGACAATATTTTTACTTTCCTGTAACTTTCCTATACTTGGCTAGAATGCATATAGCCTTTTTTGTCTCTCAGCACTTACCATTTCCTAAGGATGCATCCGGCCTGGAAAACAGCAAAGAAAGAGAAACATTTTCTAGCATTTTTTTCCAAATTAATTTCTTTGCATCATTATGGAATTTCTTAAAAGTCTCTTCTGTTTGTTCTCCCCCCCCCCCAATTTTCTCCTTTATAATTGAAACAGCAGATCTGGGAGAAGTGGAGAGGGTGAAGGAAGTAAATTTTGATCCTGACAAAGAAAGGTACTAGAGTTTTACTCTGAAAGAATGTAAGCTGAATTCTTACAGGTATGTTATCTCCTTTTATTGAATCAGTTTTAAATATTATGATAATTTCTTTTAACGTTATCACACAGTAAGGAAACAAGAGCAAAATCATCGTAATATTTTGGTCACTGGACAAGGCTTCATTTTTGTTTTGCTTTTTTAAAAAAATCAGCAGCTCTACAGATAATGAAATGGCATTACGGCTGCTGCCACACTGCAGAATTAATGCAATTTGACACTGCTTTATCTGCTGTGACTCTATCTTATGGCATCCTGGGATTTGTAGTTTACTGTGGCATCAGAGTGTTCTTACAGAAAATGTTAAATATCTCACAAAACTACAAACCCCAGAATTCTATAGCATTGAGCATTGAGCATTGTGCATTGGCAGTTAAAGTGGTGTCAAACTGCATTAATTCTGCAGTGCAGATGCAGCCTACCTCTGCAATCTATTGGTTTTTATTTTTTAATCCTGACCAATTGCACTTCCTTAATATGGCCTCCCCAAAAGATGCCAGAGAGCTGGCAGACTGGCATAGGACAAATGTTCCCCAAGTATCATGGACACACTCCATTAAGGGCTTTAAAGGTAATTGCAAACACCACAATTATGTGTAGAAACCAATGAAAGTCTTGCATAATAGGTGGGATACAAACTCATGGGCAGGCCCAGCCTACTGTACTTCCTGCTACCTTCCAAATCTTCCAAAGATTCTTCAAGGATTGTGGCACTATGCAGAATGCTTTGTTTGTAGTAATCTGACCTGGATACAGTAAAGGCAGAAATAGTGCAAATTGAGTCCACTTTAACTGCCCTGACTCAGTGCTAGGGAGTCATGGGGACTGTAGTTTATTGTGGCACCAGAGCTCTCCTTTCAGAGCCGGCAAATAGGGCACTCCAAGAGCCACTGCACGGCTTTCTGCATCCCTTCTGGCACAATGCGTCAAGATGCTGCGCCAAAGGATGTTCTGACGGTGCACGCCGTGAATAATGGTGCATGCTGTCAGAACGTCCTCGGGGAGGGGTTGGGGAAGCCGACATGTGGCTCCCCCTCCCCTTCCCTGTCTCAAAGATGGCACAAAGGGCCGTCTGTAGAGGCCCATAGATTTCTCACACTAGATCTTTCAGATCTGGGTCTCTTGGATCTCCCTCACACTGGGCCTTTCAGATGGCATCAAATTATGTCACGACCACCGGGTTACACAAGATTCTTTCCCTACCTTATCCTAGTTTGAGGCTTCTTTTCCCTCAGAACCTTTAGTTCTCTCACTAACCTTTGGTTCTCCCACTAAGGGCCTCTGCAGATGGGCCCTTTGCGGTGTCCTCGAGGCAGGGATGGGGAAGGGTAGCTGCACACTGGCCGCTGCAACACCTCCCTGAAGACGTCCTGACACCACGCGCCATTACGCACAGCATGCGGTCTCAGAATGTCCTCCTGCCGCAGCATCTTGATGCACTGCACAGGAAGGGGCACAGAAGAGCCACGCGGCGGCTCTTGAGACGTCCTTTTTGCCTGCTCTGAAAGGAGCAGCATTTTGCTGTTTTTTTCCAGGCTGGCAAAAGGAGGATTGGGGCCAAGGTGTGGGGCAGCCTCGGCCCCAATCCTCCGCTTCCCAGGGTGGCCCAGGGCTGCTCGTCTGCATCCCCCCCCAACTTAAGTCTTTCTACTATTAGGCGTTTTTAATAGTCTTAGTAGCATGTTTTGATGTTATACATAAATCACTTCACTCCTTTGTGAACAAGAAGAAAATAACTTTTATTTACATGCAGAACTTATGATAGTATCTTTCTTGGTAGTTGGTTCTCAAGGCTTGTTGTTACTATATATATATATATATATATATATATATATATATATATATATATATATAACAAATTTACTTTACAAAAAGGAAGCAGCCTCTATGCAGCTATTCTGGTGTCTGCAGCAAGATTCAGGGAAGGTATAACTCCGGATTCTGGCCATGGTGTGAAATCCTAATCAGCCTTGTCACATGATATTCAATCCGAGTGCCCAGCAAAATGATGGTAGAACTTTTAAAAGAAGCAATCTCCTGGTTAGAGGATGAACTTATTACATATTACAAGAAAGAGATCTTTGATTGATTTTTATTCTGTCCAACAGATGGCAGTCATACATACTCAGGCATAGGTTTCAAAGCCAGGAAATCAGCACAGCTAGAAACAGAAACAGATTTGAGGATGGAATTGTAAATGTCAGCAACTGAGCCCCAGGATCCAAGACTTTTGTCCAGGAACAGATCAGCCAGCAAAGAGGCATGCAGACATACCACACAGAAGCATGTGCTCACACAAACACATTTTTAAAAGTCTTTTTTCCAAACTGTGGTAGAAATAACCATGATTGGAATCAGTGCAAAGGTTACAAACTCCTGAAATGGGACTACTGAGCTACCAAAACATTGTAATTTCTTATTGTATTGTAATTTCTTATCAGTATAGGCCTAAATCCAAGTATCAGTCTCATCTAGCACATGCATCTTCTAAGTACTGATTTACAAAATTCCCAATGAATAAATGAGCCTAATCTAGCTGAGCCTACTGGTAGAATTAGGCAAGGGCACAAAAATAGTTTGTTACTATTACAGTTACAATTTTTTTAAAAAACATTTTTACTTTCCTATTTGCAAGATATTTGCATCATCATCATCATCACCATCATCATCATCATCTAAAATAAACATTCAGATGCTATGAGCTGCTGGTCTGTGGTACAAAATGCACTGTCCTCCAATCATACAGGCCCCATTCAAAATGGCATTTTTGTAGCAAGGAGATCCAAGCTGAATCAGTGTTGCAATTCCAAATCAAAGCTCACACTATGGAGTTTATCACACGGGGGAAATCCCATACAGAAACGGGGCTTTAAATTGGAAAGAAAACGCAAAAGTGGTTAGATTTTCAGACGACATCGCTGTTAAAATGGAGTTAAAATGAGTTAAAAAAGAGTTTAAAAAAGAAGCAGTTTTTGATGACTTTCTGTTTGGATTAACCTCATTTTAACTCCATTTTAACAGTGACGCTGTCTGAAAATCTAACAGCTTTTGCGGGGTTTTTTTTCTATTTAAAGCCCCATTTCTGCACAGGAATCCCCTGTGTGATAAACTTCTATGTTTACCCCGATTGAATCTCTCCGGTGCAATTTATCCCTGTTGAAGTTTACACTGACTGAAGCAAAAATTCAAAATGGATCCTCCATATCGATCACATTTGATTATTTTTGATTTTATTTATTTTTTATTCTGTCAGTCTAATGATGCACATCTACATCACACCACTTCCATTGCCATAGGACTTTATCACACAGGGAAAATTGGGGGGTGGAGGGGGGGTTAAAGAGTCATTATCCCAGGAAAAATGACTTCGGGGGGAAGCAGACGAGGGCGTCCGGGACGCCCTGGGATGGTGTGCTGCGGGACTGCGGCATCTGCACCGTGGCGCACCGTCGGCGCCTCTGAAAGGAGCGCAAAATCAGCGCTCCTTTCACAAGTCAGTGAAAGTGTGCCCTAAAAGCGTAGGTTGCACTTTCACTGACTTTTCCGCCGCAGCATGTGCGGACGCTGCGGCGGGAGGTTGCCTTGGGAGCGCCGACCATGTGGAGGGCTGGCGGCTCCAAGGACGACCTCGGGAGGAGGAAGGGGAGCCGATCGTGAGGCTGCCCCTCCTCTTCCTTGCCTCGGAGACGACTCTATTAGTCGTTTGCTGAGGCCCATTCTGTCATGAGGGGAATAAAGAGGGAATAAAAAGGGAGTGATCCTTCTCTCCTCCTCCTCCTCCTCCTCCTCCTCCTCTGCTTCCCAGCCTTTACTTTCAAGTAGAGCCAAGCTGCTTAGGGCAATAAAGAAGGAACAATTCTTCCAAGCCAGTGTGGTGCAGCGGTTTGAATGTTGGACTGGGACTCCGGAGACTAGTGTTTGAATCCCAGATCAGCCATATAGTGGGTGACCTTGGGCTAGTCACACTCTCTCAACCTCAGAGGATGGCCATGGCAAACCTCCTCTGAAGAAATATGACTGGGAAACCTTGTGATAGGTTTGCCTTAGGGTTGCCATAAGTCAGAAACAACTTGAAGTATACAACAAGAAACAACAACAATCTCTCTCTCTCTCCTTTTCCTTTCCCAAATGCCAATTCTCCCTCTCTCTCTTCTCCTTTGGCACAATTCTCCTTTGCAAACATAAGTGCAAAGTTTTCCCTCTTCTTCTTCTTCCCTGCCAGAAGGAAGGAAGGAAGGAAGGATTAGCTGCCAGAAAGGAGATGAGATGTAGGACATTCAAGATAATGGAGGACGTGGCAAAAGAAAAGCTATAAACACTCATAAAAATATAAATCCATGCTTCTTAGTCCTGCTCAAAATGGATGACATTGTGGAATTCCTCCTAGACAGAAGGCTGAAATGGAGTACAGGACCTGGAAAAGGAGGATGCATCTAGTCACCCTGAGCTAAAGACACTCCTAGAAATCTAAACCCAAACCTCTTAGTCCTGCCCCGAAAGGAGAACATTCAAGAAAATGGAGGACATGAACAAATGAAAGCTAAAAACACAGATAGAGATATAAATCCCTGCCTCTTCACCCTGCTAAAAGTGGAGGTCCTTCAACAAATATGGAGGATGTGACCAAAGAAAACCTTCACAAAACCCACCAGCCATAGGCTTGCCTTTGCTGGGGGAGAAGTCATACTGTCTCAAACTCACACGATGGCTTAAGAATACCTGCAGTATGGTAGCCAGGGTAGAGGGAGGTACCAAGAATGAGTAACCCCACGCAGAAGCCATGAGAATGCAAAGGATCTCAGTCTGTCAAAAATATATATTTAAAAAATACAGATGTCCCCCAAAGAACCCACTTCATTTTGGTGAGGTCTGAGCATCTGGCAATGCATCATTGTGGAAACCAGAGCAGAAAAGGAAAACAGCTGAAAGGTTGTTTAAAGGGCCCAATAGTGAGAAATTTGAATTAACTCGCTGGCAACTAGGTGCAAGCACCGAAATGGTGCTTGCCACCAAAGCTAGACTAGCTAGGATGGGATGGGTATGTTCTGTTCCTCTGCCCACTCTCTGCCCATTACACCATGCCCTCTAGGATGCCCCAAATGGGATTGGGAGTAAGTTCCCATTGGCGGTACCCTGATAACACCTGGTTCTTTTCAAAAGATACAGGGAAAAATGCAATCCTGGAAAACCCGGGTTAAGGGGGTTTGACATGGCCCCCCTTGAATTCAGGTAGGAAAAAACCAGCACCAGTGTGAATGACCCCATTTTAAACAGGTTTGCAAACTGGTTCATAACATGGTGTGAATGACCACACAGTGTGGTACTGCTTCAGTTCCCACATCAGTTTATGAGACAGCAACACAAGACAAGCCCATGAACCATGCTTTATCCTTAGTTCATCATTTAGTGGTGTCAACCCAATATATATACAGAAAGTTTCACTACAAAAGGAGTTCATTACAGTATAGTGTAGTATAATAACAGTAGTTCATTACAAGTAACTATAAGTTGAGTCTCCCATATCCAAAATGCTTGGGACAAGAAATGTTTTGGATTTCAGATTTTGGAATACTTGTATATACATAATGATATATCTTGGAGATGAAACCCAAGTCTAAAGATGAAATTCATTTATGTTTCATATACACCTTATACATATAATCTGAAGATAGTTTTACAGATAACATTTTAAATAATTTTATCCATAAAAACAAAGTCTGTGTAAACTGAAACAGCAGAAAGCAAATGTGTCCCTATTTCAGCCAGCAATGCAACAATTTTGGATTTTGGACTATTTCAAAATTCTGGATAAGGGATGCTCAACCTGTAGTTATTTGCAACTAGTTACGTCGAGTTTCTGCATACTAAAGGGTAGGATTTTTTAAAGTGTGCTGAGGCCAGTTTACTGTAATGGCAATACAAAGTTTCCTAAAATATGGTTTAGGGAGTTATCACATGTTCTCTACTCATGTACCTGTTTCTGAGCTCTCAGCTCTTGTCACAGAGATCTTTATAGTATTTAATGTGGATTTCCTATCCCTGTATCTCACAATTCAACTTAATCCTGATGTTTATCCTAGATGTAGGGGCAGAGAAACCCAAATGGAAGAGAATGTTCAAGGGAAGTAATAGTGCCACTGTATTCTGCTTTGATCAAGCCCCACCTGGAATATTGTGTCCAGTTCTGGACACAATTCAAAAAGGATGTTGGAGCGTGTCCAAAGGAGGGCAACTAAAATGGTGAAGAGTCTGGAAA